TGTGCCTGCTGACCCATTGGTGGGGAAAACCCATGAGGGATGGGATCGACTAACACCCGACGCACAACCACGTCCTAACATTGCAGCTGGCTCTTCATAGCCGATCTCACATAGTTCTCCCACTGATCCGCATAACCAATTGGGATCATTCGCCTAAGGATGTTGGGAGGAGAACCTAGGTGCAGTACACCCTCAACTGCAATGCCATCATCTCCAAGGCAATGCAGCTCCTCTCGAGCCCTTGCAACCATGTCACTAAATGAAGGCTTATCATTGAATAGCACAGGCACGCTTTGCATGTCAACAAAATCAACATATCCATAGCGATCGTATTCAACGGTGCCTCCATGATATATGGTCACTAGGTTGTTCATCTAGTTCAAACACATAACGAAACACATGTGAAAGGATCTATCAATGCCTAGAGGGGGGTGAATAGGCGTATCTAAAAATTAACTGTAAATGCTAAGTTCAAATTTGTCAGTCAATGTCGGAAGTCCCGGCATTTGGGTCGGAACTCCTGACGTCGTCAGAAGTTTCGGCACAAACGTCAGCAGTCCCGGCGCCTACATGAACTACAAAAGCAGTGTCAAATTTAACTTTGTGGATAAATAATCTTACAACCCCACTTCCTTGTGGTTTGGTGAAGAGGTTGGGTCACTCCCTTGACGCCGTAATGCCTCCAAACCGTAGATCGAGTACAAACCCTAAAATGAAGTTCAAGAGAGAGAGAGAGAGAGAGACAAACAAATACAAGTAATCTCTAACAATCACAACAACAAGCACATGGGATACAAGAATTTATCCCGAGGTTCGGCAACCCCACAAAGGAGCTCCTACGTCCTCGTTGTTGAGGTGACCACAAAGGTCGGAGTCTATTCCACCTCCTTGCCTCTCTCAAAGCGACCACAAAGGTCACTTGAGCTTTCCACTAAGAAATCAAAGGGTAATACAAACTTCCCAAGGCTCTTCCACAAGATGGAAGCTCTTGGGCAACGTCTAGCCGGCTAGGGTCAAAGCCCCAAGAGTAATAGACGCAAAACCAACTGTCTTGACGAAGAAATCAAGTGCTCAAGCTTGCCAAAGTGATTCTCTCACTTAATCCACTCTCCTTTCACTCAAAACCCTAAGGAAATCGAAGATTGGAGCAAAGGAGGGAGGAGAGGGGTGCCTTTCTTGCTTGGGAGCTGTTGGGACGAAGTTGGGTCAACTGTGAATGAGTTAGTGACTGTTAGAAGTGAAGAGATGGCTATCTATACTCTTAGTAGAAATCTAACCGTTCACATCTACGTTGAAAGTTCCGACATAGATCTCGGGACTTCCGACGTCAACAGAAAACACTGTTCATGCAGGGTCAGAAGTCCGTATGAGGAAGTCAATGTCGGAACTCCTGACAAACGTCGGGACTCCCAACGTACGTCGAGACTTCCGACATGCGCAGTCAGTCAACCAGCAAAGCCCCAGGTGTCGGGACTCCCGACAAGGGCCGGGACTTCCGACTTTAGGAAGTTCCGACGTACGTCGGGACTTCCGACTAGCGCAGACAGCCGGCCAGCAGAGCCACAGGTGTCGGGACTCCTGGCTTGGGTCAGGACTTCCGACTGTCGGGACTTCCGACTCACGTCGGGACTTCCGACATCCACAGTCACCGCGCATGCTAAGTGACTGGGAGTCAGAACTTCCAGCATGAGTCATGACTTCCGACGGTCGGGAGTTCCGGCTTACGTCGGGACTTCCGACACCGACAGTCATAGAAAAATATTCTACGTGCTCGTGGAGTGCTAGAGTATCTCTCTTTTGATTTTATTTTTATGCTTGAGCACTCTATCTTCCTCAGACCAACTAAGTTTGCATAACTCTTTATAGTGCGGCGGATTCTAAACTCAAAAACAAAAATAAAACCTTTGGAGAGCGTTTTGAGTTCGTTCGCCTTTACAACTTCAACAATTGAGGGATACCATTTCATCTTTATCAACTCTTTGAATCTTTTATGGGACTAATAGCTGCGACATACCTCATTAAGATCACATTAGTCCCAAATTTAGATGTCATTAATACACGAAAACCCACATAGGGGGCAAATGCACTTTCAACATGTCCTTTAGTCCAAATTAGTCGATACATAGTACCTAACAAGTACTTTCTAACTACAAACTAAGTAAATAAGATAATAACTACATACATAGATACAGTGTACTAACTAAATAGCTAGATCCTATTTAGTTAACTAAATATGTAACTACCTATCTAAGTACCTATCAAACTATATCTATATACCTATGTATCTATGTTTCTATCTATCTACATATCTATCTCACTAGATCACTAACTAAATCAACTACCTGAGTCATCACATTAACTAGTAAATAACAAATGTTAAAACTACTACACTACAATCAAAGCTAACTAAGTACGCACATTACAAATTCACAATTTTTACCTGTCCGACGACGGAGTCGCGGATGTCGACGGAGTTGCAGCGGACGCTGGGCGTGGGTCAGGCCGACGAGCCGGGCCGGCGGTGGCATGGCCTGGTGCTGCAGGTGCCGGGGCCGGTGAGGGCGTGGCCGAGGACAGGCGGTGGCGCGGTGGCGAACGGCACGGTCACGGTCACGGCACCGGCGTGGCGGGGCGCGGCCAAGGCGGCCGCGGGCGCGGGCGGCACGTCGGGCGAGGCGAGGGCGGGGCGCGAGCGCGGGGTCCGGCACGGCCGCGGGGCGTGGCACGGCTGCAGTGGTGTCGCGGCGTGGGCGGCCAGGCGAGGGGCGGGCGCGGGGATCGGCGCGGCTCGGGCGAGGGCGCAGTGGTGCGGGCGGCGGCGGCGGTGTGCTGCTCGGGCGAGGGAGGTGCGAGAGAGAGGGAGAGGAAGAGAGAAAGGATTGGGGCCTATACGTAAGACAGGCTCGGCGCTAAGATCTACGGCGCCGAGCTCGGCGCCAGGGTTACTGGCACCGAGCTGCCTACCATGTCACCGCCACGTCTGTTTCGAGCCCAAGAGCTCGGCGTCAGCAACGCTGGCACTGAGACGTGTAAGCTCAGCGCCAGCAACGATGACGCCGAGCTAAGGGTCTAGATTTTGAAATCTTAACTTCAGGAACATATTTGTGATTTTTTTTAAAAAGGGGCTAAAAAATAAAAAATTCAGGGAGCTTCCTGTGAAGCAGAATGGGCCACGTCGGTGCTACAGCACGCTATTATTCTATTTACAGTATTTCTCAGCGAAGCCTAGTATTTTTCTATTTATAGTATTTTCTTTTGAAATGAACATATATGCTAAGTCAAGACCATAAGTTTAAGTAGATAAGTTCTACCACAAAAAATATAATCAACTAAACAACACTTATTTTCGATGTATTCATAATAAAATAATATTATTTGAATGGTAGCAATTGAACTTTTTAAATATATATATGCTAAGGGTTCGAGATTTACAAAATCTATATTTATATCTATATATATGAAATACATTTATACTCTATCTATATTTACATTATATTTAAGAGGCCAGAATGAACTTTCTTTTTTCCCTAATAAAACGAAGGAATTCTTTCGTATGTCTTTTTTACTTCTCCCAGTACCTTAAGTTTCTCCTTTATATCTCCAATACATGTGACCGGACAATAAGGTGCACGTATTATTATAACATGCGGACATGTTTGCTAATCTATACACTCAATCGTAAAAAACACATATACAACACCCTTTTACCCTCTCCTCTCTCTACTTTGTTGTTCGTCACTTCTTCCGGCGAGATTTGGCGGCATTTTAGTTGGTCTTGCTGACCCTAGGACACCCTCCACGTGCTCCTCCCCGACGGGTCTTTCCGGGAGATGTTCGGGAGTTTAGCATGTGAAGAACGGGCTCAAAATCGGCCTAAACCGATCTTTAGATCGGTTTCGTCGGTTCACTGCGTTCTTGCCGCAATCACTTGTCAGCGTGCTAATCCTTGCTGGTGTGTGATTCGGAACCCATCCGGCATCAACACGGCCAAAGAACACTAGTGTATAATATAGCCGAAGGTTGGGCCCCACAACACGAAGATAGACAAGCGGCATAGTGTCGTGCCCTTAGCAGCCATGTTTCCCATTTCCGTCCCCGTTCCCGGAACGGGAACGAGAACTTGGGATATCAATTTATAACGTGAGAATGAGAATATTCGCGTTTCCGAAACATAGACGTTCCCGGAACGTGAAACATGGAAACGGGAACGTGGGTCATGTTCCCGTTCCCAGGCTGCTAAGGTCGTGCCTCACGTGCTTAAGGGGGTGTTTAGAACTGTTCCACTCCACGTTTTTCAGCACGGTTTCATGATTTTTAGCTAAACAGGTTCAGCTCCACGCACTCTGTTCGAAAAAAAAAGTAGATTTGTGAGAACACCTAAAGAGTGCTCCACAAACTCAATTTTTTATGATGCTGCTCCACAGTGGACTTTGGGAAGCGGAATCGGTGAAACCCTCCTAAATACACCGTGAGAATCCGGTCCGAAAGCGGCAGGAAGCAAGAGAGAGATAGGCTGGGCCGCCAAAGTACCTCTATGATTTACTAGGATATAGGCCTCGACTCTTGAGAAACATTGAAGGCTCTTATTCACCCCTCCTCTCGTAAGAGTTTCAGTCCGTTTTTATTTTGTGTACGGTAATGTTCTGAGTTCAATTGGTTCGTCCTGAACATTTCCAGTTCATTCTTTGTACACTACACATATGAATTCCTCACATTTCAAGCCTCCGCGCTAAGAAAAATAAATTCGATTAAGGTCCAACCCAAGCAGGAAAACAATGGCCATGGATGAAACGAGGCGAAATGTTTCCGGTCTATGGTAGCAGGTTCGCAGCCAAGAGCCAACTGTCCTTGACTGATAAGTTGACTGAAAATGCTAATTTATTGTGAAAAAAAATAATATTGTTTGTTGATCGAAAAAGTATGGTTTATACGTAAGCGAACAGGACGAACATCGCTACGCAGGATAATATCAGCGCGCATGGCGCACGGCCGGCAACCAGCTATGCGCTCTGCACCTCCAAGAACGCATGGAACTCCGCCCTGGCCATCGCCAGACGCGGCGTGATGCACGGCGACGATGGGCACGACGACGACGCATCCGCCGCCACCGCCGTCGAGAACCTCACGTGCCTCTGAGACGACGTCGACGGCCTGGCCGAGTCGAGCCGTGATGACGCCGAGTTCTTCAGTATTCCCCTCGTCGCCGCGGGTGGTTCGCCGTCGAACACGAACGCTATCTTGACCGGCGCCTCCGCGTCGTCCGCGCAGCTAATCTTGGCTACCTCCGTCGCGTGGCAGTCGACGGCGTCCACGGGCGGCGGTGGCGGAGGAGGAGGGCTCCACGACCCGCACTCGAACCTCTCCAGCGACGCCACCCGAGACGCGCTGCTGCGGCGAGGCCTCAAGCCCGACTGCTGCCTCTGCATGCTCGACGACACGGCAGTGCCAGCTGTTGTGGTGCCGGCGAAGGTGGCAGCGGGCTTCCTCTTGGAGAAGCCCGCCGGGAAGAGCATGCACAGCGCAACGCACATGAAGCCGTCCTCCGCGGCGAGCGTCTTAGCGGGCTGGACCGGCTCCTCCTCGTCGTCGTGCGGCGCCATGGTCCTGCCCTCGGCGCGGGACGCGGACCTCGACATCGTGGACGGCGCGGCGACGAGCCGGGCGAGCGCGGCCGAGTGCTGGCGGGCGAGAAAATGCTAGCAGAGCTTAAAAACAAATATTTATTAGTATTTTGTTTTTGAAAGTTGAAGCCTTTTTTCTGACGAGCTGGACAAGAGAAGTTTGTAACATTGCATACTTACTTAGCAAAAGGAAATAAATAAAAAATATATAATGGAAGCAGTAATATAATATAATAGAAATACGGAACCAACATATTGTAAAGTTGCAGATCGTTGGAAACAGTAATTATGAAAAATATATAATGGGTGAAATAAATGAAAAAATAATGATGTACTTACTTAATCATTGAGAAATGTAAATAAATAAAGATTAAAAATATTAGTAAATACTGCTAAGCAAGAGTTCAATCGAGCAGAGAGGGGAGGCTATGGGCCCAAACGAGTGGGTGCTGCTGTACTGCTGCTTTATACGTTCAAAGAAAAAAAATAGAAATACAGATAGAAATTTACACAGATCTCGAGATCTTCATAATCAGCATGTAGATGCTACAAGACATTGATTTCGTGGTGCATGGTTGCAGGCTCGAGTGAGAGAGGCTGCGTTGTGTCTCCATCGACCGCAGGTAGTACTCACCGATGCAATCGACCAGACAGGGGTGGGCACGAGGCAGTACGTGGGTGGGCCCAAACGAGTGGGTGCTGCTGTACTGCTGCTGTTATACGTTCAAAGAACAAAAATAGAAATACAGATATAATACAAGGATGGGTAAGGACGACACAGATCTCGAGATCACTAATTGACGGTGCAGATAGTAGCCGCTCAGCATGTAGATGCTACAAGACATTTTGGAGGTGGTGCATGGTTGCAGGCTCGGAGCAACATGCACGTGATGCCTTGCGTCTCCACATCGGCTGCGTTGTGTCTCCATCGACCGCAGGCGCGTGGTCCCGAGCAGCGCCACCGCGACTCACCGATGCCACAGCGCAGGATCGACGAGCAGAAAAAGAAAAAGAAAAAGAAAAAGAAAGACAGACAGCGGAGATCAGAAGACAGAGGAATTGGACGGCTCGCCTTTATCATCAGACCCACCACCGAGCAGCAGTCAGTCGTGAGCCCGTGACCATGAGCACTATACCGGCACACCGCTCCCTTCCTGTCATGGCAACATCACCATCGTTCGAGAGGTACTGCACTACTTGAGGAAGATAGAACACGCGCCCCAGCAGCAGCGCGCCGGGGCTGTCGCTGTGCAGACGTCCACGTCGCAGATGACCCGGTCCGTCGGCGGCAAGTGCCTTTATCTTTATTTATTAAAAAAAAGATACACGCCTGCGGCCCACGTTTTGATGTAGTCGCGCACGCACTCCTCTGCCGTCGGGTTGAAGTAGATGCCCGGCGGAAGCGCCCGGAATGGCGCCGCAATCGCGCTGGCCAGCTCCCGGCCCCTGGCCCCGCTTGGAGATGTTTCTACGTCTACGCGGTGTTGTAGACGAAGAGCAGAGCAATTTCGCCGGAGTGGAGTCGTAATCATGGCGGAGTTGTTTCGCCGGAGCCAATGTGCTTTTGGCAGCTTTTGTCGAGCCGGCGTGGAGTTGTTCCGCGCATGGCTTCGTCCGCGTAAAGTTACGTGAAGGGGGGGAGGATTTCTCAAGTGCTAAAAGATTAGGAGTAAATATTAGAAGTTGTTGGATAGGATTTTTTTCTCAACTTTCTAAAAAACAAGGATTATGAGGATGTTTAGGTCTTGGTGATGCTCTAACTCGCACCTGGGCCTGGAGCAAAAGGCCCCGGGCGTCCTCTCTGCATGCGCCATGCGGTTGGGCCGTTCCTCCGCAATGTACTTTCCACTTGCTCCGCGTAGGCTGCCGACCACCGTGCGTGACCGCCCCGAGTGCCAGACGCGCACCGCCCACCTCCGTCTCCGGGGCCCGGGGGCGCGGGTGCCTGCCGAGATTTCTCTCCGCCATGTATGCATGTCCTGCCGCTCAGGCTGAGGCTCAGCAGCACACGGCAGAGATATTAGCCCCGTCCAAATTCCAAAAGCATATCAAATTATGTGAATCAAGAAGGAAGATTAAAAATGGTTGCGAAAAAGATGAATGCATCTAATAGCAAATTCATTCAACAGGTGCTGCTTTAAAAAAGTACAAACATGATCCAGCAAATCTCTGAGAAAATCTAGGGTTGCATCGATAAACGAAATGCAACGAATTGTTTCGAATTCAATTTAACTATTTTGTGATTGACTCTGCACACAGGTCCGCATCCACTGAATCACAAAGTCAAGCTAACTGCCATGATTAGTCTGACTTGAAAGAGATCTCATACCTGAGATTTCACTCCTCCCAATATCAGCGATCGTTACCATACCATGACTGAGGGCAGCAAGAGTAGTCATCTCAATAGATAACATGCATTACCACTCATTTTTATATGGAAGTAAAACAGAATAAACAAATAACAATCATGCCGTGATCATAGGTCAACCATGTTGATGAATTACCAAGGATGCCACATAGGCTATCTTAGCTAAATCATATGGGAATAGTGCAATGTATTTGGACATGATTCCACATAAACCTCATAAAGAAAGTAAGGTTTCCTTCATTCTGAAACAACATCTTGTTAGCGATCTCAAAAGGGATATTCCCAACATTCCTATCTAGGCCACTATAAATACCTGGCCTGCTGTAGATGTAGCGTACCAACTTGAGAAGAGCAGACAACACATCTGGTTAGACTGCAACACACCACCAGTGTTTCGGGAAATGGAGATTCCAGTGATAAAGATGGATCAGCTGCATGGTGAGAAGAGGTCAGAGACACTTTCACTCCTCCATAATGCCTGTGCGCAATGGGGTTTCTTTTGGGTAACAAAATGTACATCATCATTGTCTAGATGAGGAAAATTTCATTATATTTTCTAACATATTGCATGCTAAACTGCATGGCAGCTTGAGAATCATGGAGTCAATGAGGACCTCATGAATAAAATGAAGGATCTGGTGAACAAACACTATGAACAAGACATGGAGAAGAACTTCTACAGTTCGGAGAAAGCAAAAATCCTAGATGATGAGAAAGCTTCATCAAATGTTGACTGGGAGTGCAGCTTCATGTACCGTCGTCAGCCAAAATCAAACAGTCATGATATTCCTGAGCTGCTTCGGTGAGTGCGAAGTTTAAATAGAAGAAAAACATTTTACCAAGTCTAGCAGTCATCTGTTGTGAAACATAAATCACAAAATTGTAAATCAAACTAACATGATCCAATGAACTGTGCAGTGCAACAGTGTTTGAATATGCAGAAGAAGTAATCAAATTGGCTGAACAGCTTGCAGCAGTTATGAGTGAAAATCTTGGGCTGGACAAAGATTATATTGAGAAGGCATTTTCTAAACCTTCTGTAGGCATCAAGGTGGCAAAGTATCCCAGGTGCAGTCATCGGGAGCTTGTGATGGGCCTCAGGGAACACACTGATGCTGGGGGGATCATACTTCTATTTCAAGATGAGTTAGTCCCAGGTTTGGAGTTTCTGAAAGATGGTAAGTGGATCACAATACCTCCAACAGAAGGCAATAGAATTTTTGTAAACCTTGGAGATCAGATTGAAGTGATGACCAATGGAATCTACAAGAGCATATGCCATCGGATCCTTCCAAATAAGAACGGGAGCCGCCTGTCTATTGCAACATTCTATAACCCTGGTGCCGATGCGATGCCATAATCTACCCAGCTCCAAAGCTTACATATCCTAGCCAATATCGTTCCCAAGACTACCTTAATTTCTATTCTACTACCAAGTTTACTGATAAGGTATCAAGGTTCCAGACTACAAAGGCAATATTGAAGTGAATCACATCAGAAGCCTGGAAAAAAGAAGTATCTTGTTCAGCAATACTGCATCAGTGTGTAGATGCGTTTGTATGTAGTGCTCCTAAGGAACAGCAAAGTGTTAATTAATGTATTTTACTTTCAGTGTTTATCTGTTTGAAGAATAAACAGCTTACACTGCTTGTACTTAATGTAATATATTACATGTGGGTTTCTTCAGACAGTAAAATGTCATGTTAGTTATGAAGATGCCAATCTATTATTTAATTAAGAATCTTATAAACACTAAGAATTAACATATACACAATAATAAGTTAGTTGCTTTGTATATGAACCAATCTTCAGTTTGTATGGTTTAAAAACTAAGAAGCTGTATGTTTTGAAGTTAGCAGATGTTAAAGCACCACGCATGCATAGGAGTACTTCTATAAAATTAAACAGACCTTCCAAGAGAATTAAACATTCAGTTAATCTAAGTAGAAATGTAGACTCACAAGTTGTTCGAGTTAAATGCCTTAGCAGTATAAATTCAACTTGCAGGGCGCAGTTTTGCCAATACAGCTTTAGTCAGGAAAGTGTCGGTTCTCTCAGCAGCTCTCTCGAGTAAACCCCTCTGATGCTTACATTCATGCCAACACTTTGACACGAAGCACTTCAGAAAGTTGCCAAATTTCAATGACCTCGGGAACTTTGATGCCTGGTCATCAATCACAGAAATTAGCTCAACAACAGTGCTCGGTGTCAAGCAAATATCTTGACTGAGAATGTTGTAAAATAGTGTGAACAGAGATTCTGTCCAGACCAAATTAGTACCAATACTCTCCTGATGCTGAGGCATACAAACTGGTTTCCTCTCTTGTTCCTCTCCTGAAAGCAGCCTATGGCAGAAAGCAGTGACGTGCAGTGGATGCATGCATTCCTTGATAATACGTGTTAGCACATCACACTGGGGAACATTTAGACCGCCCTTTCTAAGAACCAGTGGAAATAGTACAGCTTCCAGTGCTGCAGCTGGGTGGCGCTTGCAGAGACCCAATGCAGTGGAAAGGAGAACCGATGAAGCTGGTCTTTGAAGCTCGAGTAACAGTGGTAGGAAAACAGAACACAGAACAAGTGCTGGTCCTTTTCCATCCACTCCATCTCCCTCAAGCACTAAACTGGAAAGCAAGACCCTCAGAGTGTCATCATCAGCTTCCCACGGCCCTACTAAGCTAAGCACTTCTGCAGCATTCCTGGACTGAACGCAAAGGTCCTGCAAATCCTTCGCCACCCGCTGGGCCGCCGAGACAGATTCCACTGTCACAATCTCCTTCTGCATAGCCAGGACCCTCTGCACGATTAACTCCTCAAGCGGAGGAGCCGGAGGAGGAAGAACACGTCCAGCCTCCTGCATCTCCACGTCCTCGTCTTGCACCAACACCAAGGTCTCCAACCCAATCCCGTCCAAACCATCCCTACCACCACGACCAGCACGTGTCCCGCTCCCGCTCCCCATCAAGTTCCGGCAATCAACGGGGAGCCACGGCAGGACAGGATGCGCCCGCGCGGCCGCTTCTTTAAGCCACGTTGGCGGATCGTGAAACCCGTCGATAAACTCGTCGGAGGGAACACCAGGGACGCCTTCCTCTTCAGGCAATCCGTCGATCAGGTGGCGGGCGCCGCGGAGAACCCATAGTCCATATCGGCCAGGCGGGGCGGAGAAGACGCGGGCGGCGAGTGTGCGGAGGAGGTGCGGGTCGAGGAGGTCAGCGGAAGAGTCGAGGAAGGAGAGCGCCTGGGACTGGAGGAAGGGCGGTAGGGTCTGGAAGAGGATGGCGGCCGTGGGGTCGGATGCGGAGGCGGAGGCGGAGGCGGGGAGCGTGGGCGCTGGCGAGAGGAGGCGGCGCAGGAGCGCGGCGGCCGGGGGAGGCGCGCTGGGGCAGTCTCCAGAAGAGGGGGAAGAGGAGAAGGCGGCGGCGTTGGCGGCGGGGGCGACGAGGAGGTGGCGGAACAGCGGCAGCCACTGCTCCATTTGGGGGTCGCCAGAAGCCCGGAAGGTTCCCGCGTTTTTGTTCCGAATTCTGAATTTCTGATGATGAGGGGTTGAAACTTGAAAGGGGAGTGAAAAACGGAAGGGACCTGCACTCTATAGGCCGGTCTCGGCAGAAGTTTAAGAGCTTTATAAATACTCCCTCGATTTTTAGATATTTTGGTCTTTTAGATACAACAGTTTTTCCTATGCACCTAATTATATACGATGTTTAAATACGTAGTCAAAGCTGTACTCCCTCTGTTCCCTTATAGAAGACGTTGTAGCTGTCAACCACGTACAAGGAAGACTTCCTGAACCTGGACGTCGGCTCTGCCATGATACATGGGACATGCAGTGAATGTAGTCGTATAAATGCACTGCTAGAACGTTTAGTAAACTGGGACAGAGGGACTACCTCGAGAAGCCAAAACAATTTATAACTTGAAATATATGGAATAGTAAATATGCTGATACGTTACAATATTAATGAAGAAAAAATAATCAAAGTTTTTTTAGAGTAAAATGAGTTTCACGAGAGATGTAATCAGTCAATATTATTTATAAAACTTAAAAATCTTAAACACCATGTGCGGCCGGTAAGGTCCCGACTTATTTCAGCTTATTCCCTCTCATAGAATATTATTTAATCATCCAAAACCATCTAAAATCTACTGTTGAACTCACCATCCGAACACCCTGAAAACCTCGAATAAAACTGATCTTAAGCAACCAGCCATCACAATAGTCGATAGTGCCACCATGACACAGCTGAATAAATGGGGTTTATGTTGCTCTCACTTGCGCCAAGCAATGGCGCGGTTTAGAGCAGGAATCACATTTGTAGTAGAGCAGTCTCAGTGAGAGTTTCATTTATATTTAATGAGCTGCCACATAAGTATTTTTAATGATGTGGCAAGGTTTTTAAGAAAAGAGAAAAAAAAAGTGAGTTTTATAGGGAAACAACGTCATGAAAAAAAAGTCATGTAATTAAATGTCTATGAAACTATAGATTGAAACTCTCCATTAAGAGTGGGTGTTTCGTCCATGTTTCATTTCATTCTACGTGACATGGCATTCTTGAAACAACGTCATGAAACTCTCTACTGAAACTGACCTAAGGGAACATTTATATATTTGAAATCTATGAGTTATTTGTGGTCTAATCCACCAAAAAAACCTAAATAGGTAGGATTTAGCATACTACTTCGTCCGTCCTAAAATATAAGGTATTGCGCATTTAAAATATGTCCCAAATTATAAGGTATATTAGGGGAACTAATTCTCCAAAAGTCTCAATCACATACTTCATTCGTTCTAAATTGTAATTCATTTTGGCTTTTCTAAGTACATAGCTTTTGCAATGCACATAGATATACATTGATGTCAACCCACTAGACTCAAAAAAATGGTAAGAGCAAGATCAATAATAGAGTCAGTGCTTGGTTGTAAGTGAAGTTATAAGAGCTAAGTTATATAATAGTTGTCTTCTATTTATCTATAATTTTTTATTATTATGTGGTACCATTTCTCATTTTCTCTTTCCTATTCCTCCTCACATATAATTCTATGGGTTCTGGTCCACCACTGCATAGTCTCTCATGCTTAGCTGTTGCTTGCATGAAAGCCAAGTTCTCTTCTCTCATTTCTTCTCTCTTCTACATCAGCAAAAATATTGATTAATTTGGCTATAAGGGGCAGTTCGCTGGTCTGGTTTGACCAGCCAGCCGGCTGCTCCCCCTCTCAGTTTACTATTCATCAAACTAGCCGAATAGTATTTTTCTCTCCCAACAATTCAGCCGAAACAGTATTTTCAGCCAAGTTTCAGACCAGCGACCGGAGCCTAAATCAATTATTGTACTTGCTCTAAGCACAGATCTATATAATTAAGGGAGGGCTACAAGCGTCATTTGCGTTACCCCATAATCCATCCTAGAATTCATGAGATAAATTAGATTTCAGGACTAATAAGAGAGCAGTAAGAATTACTCATAGTTTGGCCTTAACCCTGTTTGATGGATTTTTGTCAAATTAAAATCCAAGTGTACACATGTATTTGTGTGTACCACTGAGCATATAAAAAAAAAAAAATACATACGGAGATACATATGCTTGTGTCACGTACATGCAAGGAAAGAAGCTAGTAACAATTGCGTGGGCTTCTATGTGCTGCATGTCCATGCATGCACGTATGTATGCCCGCGACGTGCAAATAGGAGAAAGCTAACAGGTGCAGTCGTATACGTGCACCTGTGCCATAGCCGGCTGTAGAGATCGTATGTACGCCGGTTTGTGCCATGTATTCTTCTATATAATTGTACACCAACTGGGTCGACACGGCGTGGCGCGACTTGGTACGTGGGCTGAATATTCTAGAACTCTCGGATATATACGGCCATCAAATACGTGGATTACCAGGCAGCAGAGGCGGGCGCAGGATTTGGACCATGGGTATTCAAATTTTCAAATGGCAAGAAAAAAAATTTGACAGCTTAAATTATAGTTTTATAACACAAAATTAAGTGGTAGCATCATTGATTAATGTTGAAACTGGCGGTCCACCTCCCGGCGGAGGCACGGGAAACAGGCGCGATAGATGAGCGAGTAAGAAAATGGCACGCAAAACTAGAGTTTCATTAATTCTTGCACCAACCCCTTTACTGTTACAAGTGTTCCCTATTTATAGGGCTCAACTACCACTTTCATAGAGTTTACAGTACTATCCCTCAACTGCTACAGTAAATTCTTGAGATATTCCTCTACTCGCCTTCCGTCTTGAGGGTAATCTCGCCATGCCGCCATCCGATCATCGGGCTCAGCATGATCAATCGCCCATCGGGCCTCGTGGACTCGGCGATGGGCTTTAGGGCCTCATCGTGGTCTCCGCTCTGTCCGCCCTCCTCGGATCCGACGACGAGCCTTCGGGCCTCCGCCTCTGGGAGTGCCGAAGCCGTAGGCCTCCGGCATCCCAGGATCGGCGATCTCCTGCTTGGGTCTTCACCCCGACGGGCGGAGACCATGCTGGAGCACCCGCGCAGTCCACAAGTGCCCTCATCCGGTTACCTGCACATACCCAAACAATGTTGGCATTTAATTAGTCTCCTGGCGGAGCGGCCTCCGCCCCATCGGCCGGAGACGCCTGCGAGCCGGGCGGGCGGAGACCGCGCCAGGGCCGCCGTCCGCAACCTGCAAGCTCAATCTAACAAACCGTTCTCTTTCCTGGGTTTGGAGGCGTGGGAGCACAACCTCTGTTTTGGTAACAGGTCGGAGATGCCCTCGTAACCTGCCAACTGCGTAGGTCTCCGCCACTCGCGGTGGCCATGTTACAACAGTTCCCCCCCTTTTGAGACCGCGGTCCGCCTGAGCGTGTCGTGAGCTCAAAACGCCCTAAGCAAGGACGTCCGCGGGGCAGAGACTACGCATAGTCACGTCTCCAACCGATCCCCGCCGGTTCCCCCCTGGCCCGCTCTGGCGCGGCCGTTGGTCTTGTCAAAGTAGCCGTTTGGCTGCAAATCTAGCCGTTGTGCATCTTGCAACTTATCTGGAGATGACCGATGTTCGGCGGGAGCCGAATCGCCCGCCCGTGGCCTATATAAGGGCGGGGTTGGTGGCGGGGTCCCCCCCGCACGACTCATTCACTTTCCTTGCAGCGCCAGAAATCGCTCTCTGCTTTCTTTGCTTTCTCCTGAGCTGCCTTCGTGCGTTCCTTCTTTCCGCTTGCGCCTTCCTCCCAGGTCGCCGCCGCGGTGGCTTTCTTTTCCACCTTCACCCATACTCACCGGCCCGCCTTCTTCGGACCCTATCGCCACCTTCTTGGTGTTAGGGCAGGCGGTTGGGGTGCTCGCTTTGAGGAGTGCATGCTTGCCTCCTCCTCCGCGTTGGAATTTGAGAAGCTGCTGGAGGAGGATTTGGGGAGTGTCTCCGCGTCCGTCGGAGACCTGATCGCTGTGGATTCCGGAGTCATGGCGATAAAGTCATGGGATTTCGGCCCCTCCTCCATTACTGAGGAGGCGGTCGCGGAGATGTTGAAGGAATCGTATTTTCCTTCTTCGAGGGTAAAAATCCCTCCGCCTGGCCAGACCGTTCCGGAGCCGGAGGAGGGATATGCGGTGGTGTTCCAGGACTTCTTCACCTGCGGCATCCGCCTTCCTTACGTCCCCTTCCTCCGCCGGGTGTTGGAGACTTTCAACGTCCAGCTCCATCATCTGACTCTTACGGCCTTCCTCACGCTCAGCAAATTCTGCTGGCCGTGTGTCTCTTATGGCGCCGAGCCAGATGTAGACACCTTCTGCGCTTACTACGAGCTGCAGAAGCAGCCAAAGAAGAAGAAGGAGATGTGGGAAGGAAAAGAGGTGGAGTTGATCTACCAGTATGGTAGTTGCACCTTCATGTCGAAGAGGAACCAAGGCGTAGATCGCCTGGAGATTTCATTCTACCAGAAAGGCAAATGGGACCGCGGCTGGCTTGAGCAGTGGTTCTACGTGAAGACCTACGGGGTCTGTGGCACCACCGAGGATGGTGCGGAGGTCCGAGAATATCCACTAACCTCAAGGATGGAGGTGATGGCGCCGCATACGCGCGTAGAGCCGCCGGAGGCGGTGTCTCCGGCGAGGGAAGCCTGTGAATAGGCCTTTGCGTTGGCGTGCCGTTACTCCGGGGGCCGTGATCTGGTGGAGGAGATAATGGCCTCCAACTATTGGCCCCTAAGCAAAGACAATCCACCCTTTCAGCTGGAAACGGTGTCGGTTCCCATTTTTGGGCCGGAGGCCGGGATTTCGTTCCCCCGCTTTGGCCAGTCTCTAGGGGAGGGGGTGACGGAGGACGGCTTTGTCTTTGAGGTTGAAGAAGCCACCATCGGGTTGGTCGGCAAAATTTCCGAGCGTAAGTACACGTCTCGGAGAGCCATGGCAGGCACCATGCCACGGCTCAATCGAGTTTTTGAGGAGCTCGGGATCATCTACCGGGAGCGTGAGGTTCCCGCGGAGGTCCTGGCTTCGATTGAC